ATGTGTGTTGTGGAACCGCACACCAACAAGCAAACCATTTTTAAAATCCTTTTAAGCCTGGCAGCAGTGGCACGCACCCTTAAATCCCAGCACTCAGGAGGCAGAGGCAGATGGATCTCTGTGAGTTTAAGGCTAGCCTAGTCTACAAGAACTAATTTTAAATTTTGTATCGCTTTGAAATTGTGACTTAGTATTGCTTTCCTTGGAAATGAACTCTTTTTTTCTCAGCCGGAGAGAAACCATGCCCTCCGCAGTAAAAAGCCTGGAGATGCTGAGGTGTTTAGTAACTTGACTTTAGTGCTTTTGAGGCCTCTACTTCCTAGCAGAGTGAAGGCAGACGTGCAAACCAGGTTCTTACTAACTCACTTTCGTGCCTGTGTATCTGTGCATGTGTGTGTACATGGGAGTATACATACTATCTTCCCCTCTTCTTCTCTTCTATGTCTTTTGTGGTAGGATCTGTCTGTGAACTTACAGCTCTCCAATTAGGCTAGACTTCTTGGTAGAAAAAAAAAATCAAAACCTACCCATCTTTGACTCTTTTTATACAGGTTCTGGGTTTCAAACCTAGGAACTCACACTTTACCAACTGAGCCATCTCCTCAGCCTTAAAGAAACAAAACAATAAAACAAACTCAAGAAACTCTTGATTTATCAGGTAGTCTCTACCTCACCATCATCTGGCTTTGCTCAGTGGCGGTGGGGTGGAGTTGTAAGCTGCACCATGTTGGGCTGCCGTATGTCACAAGCTGCATCACATTGGGCTGCCAAAAGTCACAGGCTGCACCATGTCAGGGCTGCCATATGTTATGGGCCACCTTTTGGGGGTGACTTTTGCCGGGCTTCTAGCTGTGGTGGGCTCTTACGTTCCAGTGTAGGAGTGTGAGGATTAGAAAAGTTAGGTAGGAGAAACAGATAAGAATGAAACACAGAGACATAGGATAGTATTGGGAGGGCAACTCTGAATTCTAACTTCTGAGTTCGCCTGTGTTTAATCTTCCATGCACTTTTAAACCCCAATACAAAAGGGGGGGAAGACAAAAAACTGCCTTAACGTAAGACAAATAGAACATTTACTTGCTTCAGTACTTTGAGATATCAAGCCATTAATTCATGAGAAAAGTGTTCTATTATTTAGGCAGTGAACCCACCCTAGACCAAGTATCCTGAAGGCAGCCACTCCCTAGGTCAAACCTTCTAATTCAAAAGGAGCAGAAGTATGCTTGAATTCTCTGACTTTTGGTCAGGGTGGAGTGGATCAACCTCCTGGGCCATCTTAATGTCCAAACACCAAGAAACCACACTCTAGGTCAGGGTGTAGCCATGGTTGTCATCAACTTTGAGCAAGCTTAAGCTCTCTGACCTTCAGACAAGGTGGAATAGGCTCACATTTTTGGGCCTCCACAGGTGGGTGGGTGGAGATGCACGGGCGGCACAGTGGCATTGCCAACTCTGTGGGATGGCTGGGTCATGACTGAGTGAGAAGACATGGCAGAGGCATGAGAGTTGAGAGCCTGACATGTAGGTTCAGAAGCTGCACATTAGAAATGCCCGCAGGCAGGTCTGCAGTGACTCTGAAGAGGGGACTGTCCTTAGCGCTACAGTCCTCATCTCTTGGTAGGATGCACTGAGTTAACTGGTAAAGTCAGGAGGACAAAGGCGTAGACAGAACTGATAGTGTTGTGATGGTTTGGGAAGGAACCTTCTTCCTCTTCCTCCTTCACCAAGTCTTTCCATACACCTTGTCTGTCACAAAGTCACACACTGTTAACAGAGAGAGAAGGTCACTCTTTGTGACAATCTATTTTAGAGTTTAGGGAGACCAGCTTTTCTAAAATCTATGTATTCTCTCCTCCTCTCTTCACCCCTCCACCTGTACATGTCTGTATAGGTGCATGCGTAGCAGGTAGTTGGGGCCCAGAGGTTGACATTATGTGTCTTTCTAAGTGGCTTTTGACTATATTCATTTTCAGACAGGGTACCTCCCTGAACGTGGAGCTGCTCAGTGAGATACATGGAGTCACATCACCTTTGGCATCGATGGGCATGTGCCATTGTGCCCAGCTTTGTACATGGGTACTAGGGGCTCGACTCAGGTCCTCGAGCAAGTGCTTGTCCAGCTGAGCTATCTCCCCAGCCTGAGAAGATCTCCTTAAGTGATTCTGTGACTCTTGTGTCCTGCCTAGGATGTGTCCCTCCGTGAACTTGACTAGGACTCTGTGTTGCAGTCCTATAGCTTTTTACCACATCCCAGGAGGTTCCCAGCCCTGAGAGCCCATCCATGTTAGCTCATTTTCTGTTCCCTCCCCTGGGGAAGGAAGGAAAACAAAGCCGCTCCTTCATCCTCTTGTGTCTGTAGCAGTGGCGGTGATGGTTGGAGGCCACAACTCATGCATGCTTGCAGCCTCCCTTCTCACTCTTGCGTTGTTGACTGCAAAATCTTCCTCAAACACTCTTAATATCCCCAGAGGATGACTAGGAATGCAAGACATTTGAATATGGCCTTTACTCTGTCGTTTCTCCAGTAAAGGCTATTTTGCCCCTAGTATATATCCAGCAGTGTCTGGAGTTTTTTTCTTTGCCACGGTTCGGGACTCCTTGCTGTTTTGTGGTGTGGTGTGGTGCTCACATAATTCTCATGCTAAACAACCAGGAACATAGACTACAGTGTTCATGACGCATTCATGCTCTGTCCCAAGGAGCTTGTTTCTTCTTTGGTGAGGCTTGGTGGAACGTGTAACAGTCAGAGGTGTAAGAAAGGGACTCTACTCTTTTGTGTAAGCACCACAAGAGACTATCCCTAGCATTTAGAATATGACCGCATCCTTACTAGTTTAAGAAGTATTTGTGAACAATGATTACTCTAGTTTTTAGTTCAGGGTTTTTCTAAATCTGATTATAGTTAATGTCGGGTTCTCCAGCATGGCTATGAGTGTGGAATTATGCCCATCAATAACCAACAAGAATTGTTGTAGGAGGCCACTTATTTGTTTCCCAGGCACCCAGACTCCCAAAATAACCACACAGAAACTGTATTAATTAAATCACATCACTGCATGGCCTATTAGCTCTAACTTCTTATTGGCTACTTTTACATCATAATTTAATCCAGTTCCATTATTTTACATTTTACCACGGGGCTCATGGCCTACAGCAAGGTTCCAGTGCATCTGTCTTTACCAGAGGCTTTATGACTTCTCCCCGACTCCACCCTTCTTTCTCCCAGCATTCAGTTTAGTTTTCCCTGCCTAGCTCTACTCTACTTTATTACAGGCCTAAGACAGTTTCTTTATTAACCAATGGTATTCACAGCACACAGAGGGGAATCCCACATCAAAATATACTCTTTAAAAAATTGAATTGTTTAGCATAGATGAGGAAGGTGTTTTCCAGCCCTACCTCTACTGAGGAGCCAGTTGATAGCTGCCGGAGGAGGGAGAATTATTCTTCTTTGAGAGTGTGTATGGCCACTGTAGGTAGACTGCCCTACATCTGTGCACATATGAATAGCTCTAGTTAGACAGTAGGCTATCAGAGAGGAAAGGAGAAGGAAAGGGGGAGGGTAGAATGGAGTGAGATGGGGGAAAGACATGAAGTTGTATTGGGGGACACGACAGAATTGGAGCACCAGGAAATATGGGCAGATATCGTCATATGACATTTTATACATGAATGAACTCTTAGAAGAATAATACAAAAACTTTGAGGGCTAAGAATGTGGTTCATTTGGTAGGATGCTTTTGCTTAGCCACACACAGGGCTCTGGGTTCAACCCCCAGTTCCACAGAGAATCAGGCAAGACAGCATATACCTGTAATTCCAGCACTCAGATGGTAGAGACAGGAGGATCAAGAGTTCAAGGCCATTGTTGACTATATAGTAAACTCAAGGCCAGCCTGGAATTCTTTAGACCCCTACATCAAAGATTTGGTGAAAAAAGATGTTATAATAAAATATGCTAGACACTGAAAATTGTAGTGAACTTCATTCTGAAGCTGCTTTGAGGCCTGCTGCACCTTCGTATCATGTGTGTGCCAATAGCCACGGTGCCATGTGGAGGAGGAACTCCTGCAGTGCTGAGGTAGGGTGGGCCGTGGCAAACTTCTCTCCGTCAGTCGGGACCTTGTGTCCAGAAAGAATCCTGCAACCTCGCTCCTTGTCAGAGTTGCTTTCTGCACAGACTGCTCTGTTTGCTGGAGTCTGGCAGGGCTGAAGACAGTTCCTGCTGTCTCTGGGTGTGCCTATTTTAGGGGAGGTCATCTGTGCCACTTTCAGAAACATTTGAGAGTTTTGTGGTTTGTTTGTGATTCTGGGGAAGGGTACCCAGGTTCTTGTATGTACCCCATCTTCACTGCTGGCCCAATTTCAGTTTTATTTTGTATATTACAGAGGCAGAGAGAGCATGTTCACACTTTGTTGTATTTTTGGGTGTGTGTATGTATGGGTGTGTGTGTGTATGTATGGGTGTGTGTGTGTGTATGTATGTGTGTGTGTGTGTGTTGCATGACCATATGTTGGGGGGCAGACCGCAGGAGGATGCTGGGTGTTCTGCTCTCTCTCTCTCCATCTACTCTCTTGGGACAAGTTTTCTTGCTGAACCCAGAGTCATGCTTGGCAGTCAGCAAGCCCTAGGTTGCTATCTTCTGTATACCTTCTGCTCCCCAGTGCTGGGGATCACAGCATGCATGACCACACACGGCTTTTTATGTGAGTGCTAAGGACCTGAACTCAGGTCCTCATGCTTATGCCTCGTGCTAATACCCTGGCCTCTGTCTGGCTTTTTTACATTGTAGTTACACTGTCTCTATGGAGCTCATGCTCAAGTGCTATACAGTAAAATTACTAAAGAAAACCCTGCAAAAATGTCTTCCAATGTTTTAAGCAAGTCTGTGAGTTAGAGCTGGGCTGTGTTCATATATATCCCAGGTACCCGCAGCCACAGTTGGATATGCCTAGCCGTGCCTGCAGAACTCTTAAGTTCTCTTCCTTTTCTATTGCAGATCTGAAGAAGACGCTGGCTGTGTTGCTGGATAACATCTTGCAGCGCATTGGCAAGCTCGAGTCGAAGGTGGACAATCTAGTCAACGGCACAGGAGCAAATTCTACCAATTCCACCACAGCTGTCCCCAGCTTGGTATCACTTGACAAGATTAATGTGGCAGGTAAGGATGGCCATTCCTTGTGCAGCCATGGCACTGAGCCCTGCCTAAGATCCCAGCACAAACACTCTACTGCCACAATGTAGACTCCCTAAGCTTGATGACTGTTGTGAAGGCAAGCTTACATTTATGTTTTAATAACAGATATTGGGATGCCTTCATGGTCCCCTCAGAATATCTGGTGGTTTCTCTGATACGTTTGCAGATAAAGAACTCCTAGAATTGGTTTTTATTGATAAGATTCAGAACCTAGATTAAGTGAAATATAGAGCTTATCAGAGAAGCTCCCTGCTGATGAGTTCTCTCTGCCCAGATCCCGGCAGCTGCAAGAGTCTTCTAGTTCTTAGGATGTGGCAGTGTGGTCCTGTAATCCCAGTGCTGGAATGTGGGAGTTTATTAAGGGGTTCAGGGTCATCCTCTTCTGTACAGTGAATTTGAGACTGTCCTGGGAGAACCTCTCAGAAAGCTAAAACATGCAACTGCCAAAGCTGAGGAATTTTAACAGAAGGTAAGATAGTACTGCTCTATCTTACTTAACACAGAGTGTGAAGTAAGCTGTCCGTGGCTGCAGGCAGATATAAATGAATGTTTAAATTCATATGAAAAAGGAAAAAATGGAAGAATGCAAAATAATTTTTTCATTGTACAGATGTTACTCTGGCAAGCAAGGAGAACTCCCTGCCCATAAGTGGAAGATGACTGGGTTATCAAGGTTATAAGAGAAGAAGGAAGGGAATTTAGGGGCTGGAGTGTGGCTCAGCTGGTAGGGTGCCTACCTAGCATGGGCAAGGCCGTGGGTTCAACCTCCTGTACTTCATAAACCAGATGTGGTGGTGCAAACCTGTACTCTGAGTACTCAAGGCGGAAGCAGGGGGATCAGGAATTTGAGGTCATCCTCTGTGGCATAGTGAGTTTGAAGCCAGCCTGGGCTACATGAGACCCTGCCTCAAGAAATAAAAATAGTATATGCCTTTAATCCCAGCTCTCAGGAAGCAGAGGCTGGTAAATCTCCGTGAGTTCGAATCTAGCTCCTGATCTACAGAGAGAGAGTTCTAGTACAGACTCCAAAACTACACAGAGAAACCCTGTCTTGAAAAACAAAACAAAACAAAAAAAACAAAAAACAAAAAAAGAAAGGGAGGGAGGGAGGCAGGAAGGGAGGGAGGGAAGGAAGGAAGGAGGGAAGGAAGGAAGGAGGGAGGGAGGGAAGGAAGGAGGGAGGGAGGGAGGGAGGGAGAGAAGGGAGGAAGGAAGGAAGGAAGGAAGGAAGGAAGGAAGGAAGGAAGGAAGGAAGGAAGGCCAGGTAGCCAGTGTGATAGAAGCCCCCAGATCCTTGAAGTTTAAGATGACTGGCGACTACCTGTGGTAGGTTCTTGCTAAGGCAGGGTTGCCACTGCACACAATGCCTCTGTGTATTATGGAATGCCAGGTGGACTCTTTCTCGTAATTTCCACAGGGATGCATCTTGCCTGGCCCCTTCTCAAAACTGGAATCTTAACCAAGAGAAGGGAAATGGTTAAAAGCAAAACCTAAGTCTTATACCAAAGGCCGTTGTCCACACTTTGCCTTGAGTCTACCATTGTATCACAGCCCCTTGGAGCCCACCCTGAGCCTGTGTGTGTGTGAGTCCCAGTTACTCTTGGCAGGATGACCGTAGTCTCTGGTGTAGGGCTGGAGGTGAGGCACTTTGGAGAGGTGGTTGTGAACAGCTGTCTAGGCTTCTGGTATGTTGTATTCTCTAGCTGTGATCAGAAGATAATAGCTCAGCTGTTAGGAGCACTTTTTGCTCTTCTAGAGGACCTGGGTTTGGTTCCCAGCACCTGCATGGCTCTCAACTGTCTGTAACTGCAATTCTGAGGGACATGATGCATTCTTATGGGTGTCTCAAGGATCAGGCACACACATGGTGCACACAGACATGCATGCAGGCAAAATGCTCCCCCCACCCCCACACTATTTGGAAGATGAAGTTTAGTAGCCATGTTAGTTTTGAATTTTTAAAGATCAAGTTTTAAGGTACTGGGGATATAGCTCCGTTAGCAGAGTGCTTGCCTTTCAGACACAAAGCCTTGGGTCACAGCCCCAGCACTGCCTGAAGAAGGAAGTGGCAGTGGGCACTGTACTCTCGGTGCTTGTGTTTGGAGGTCGAAGCAGTATGATCAGTAACCCAGGGTCATCCGCAGCTACACAGTCAGTTCCAGGCTACACCGGCATCTTGTGATACACAAACAAATAGATCAGTAAAGGCAGCCTGCTTTCGCACACACCCTGGCTGCTTTATCTCTCCCCTCTTGTGACGACTCAGCGACCCAAAAGTAGGAGAGATTTTTCTCTTCCTTTCCTGCCTCTCAAAGTCAAATCAGTTAAATTTTTCCCGTTACGTGAACTGGGTGAATTACCTTTTACTTATGGCCTTTTGCCCCTTATCAAGTTTTAATTCACAAACAATATTTCTAGTAATCTTAGTATTTCACCAAAGTGTTAAAAATAACTTTTAATTACAACACAGAGACAGTGTCACCTAGGCTATAAATCCTGTCTTTCTGCCATTTCCAGCAGCTTCTGTAATTAGACAAGGAAACTTCCTGCTGTGTGGAGATGCTTATTAATGAGTGGGCGCTGTGCCTCTGCAGGCTCTGCTCGCAGTGCCCACTCCCAGTGGGAAGTCGCTTCCCGAGAGTTCCTGTCTGACTTCATCATGGTGCTAGGTGATCTGATTTGGAAGCTAGGGTAGAGTGTGTGTGTGTGTGTGTGTGTGTGTGTGTGTGTGTGTGTGTGTGTACACTCATGTCTACAGCTGCTTGTACTGTGCCTCTTACTCTTCTGCATGCATATGGATGTTAGAAGTCAACACTGGATGTCTTCCTCGATTGCTTCCAGCTTTATCTTTTGAGGCAGGGTCTCTTCCTGGCCTAGAAATCACCGATTATACTGGCCGGACTGGCCCCAAGGTCCCTCCTGTCCCTGCCTCCCCAGGTCTGGGGAACATCTGCACCTAAGTGTATATGCTCACCCATATATACATAATTTTAAAAAAGAAAAAACTCAGAAAGATGCTGGGTGGATTTTTGTTGTTGATTTTTGAAGTAGGAGCAAATTCAGGGTCAGAATTGTTGTGTTTTGAGATGGAGTCTAAATTAGTTACTTTTCCATTGCTTTAATAAAACTGGATTTTACCATGCCAAGTCAACATATAGAAGGAAGTGTTCATTTGGCTTGCCGTTCCAGCGGGATAGGGTCCATCGTGCGGGGAGGGGCGGGGAGCATGATAGCAAGCAGCAGGCATGGTGGGTGGAGCAGAAGCTGAGGTTTCAGATCTCGAGCCACGAGCAAGCTGGGGAGTAAGTTCCCTAGAAATGGCTCAAGTCTTTAGACTCTCAAAGCCTGCTCCCACTGACATACTTCCTCCAGCAAGACCACACCTCCTCAACCTCCCCACATGGTGCCATGAACTGTGCACCAAATGTTCAAATGCCAGACACTGTTGGGGACAAACTACCACGTGGCCACATGTTTCCTAGGCTGGTCTTACGTGGCCAAGACTTCAAACTTCTTATCCTTGTGCCTCTACCTCCCAGTGGTGGGATTACAGATGTGAGGTCCCATACCACATTTATGGGATGGTGGGGATGCAACCCAGGGCCTTATGCATACCGGGCAAGCACTCTGCTAACTGAGCCACATCCCTAGCCTATGAATTAAATTTGTACTAACCCCATGCTCATGCCTTTGTGACCTCATGTGTAGATACACTCCATACCTTCAGCGTTCTTACCGGATAATTAGGGAAAGAATATCCACACATAAAGACCATGGTGTGTTCATGGTCATTGTGAGGTAGATGACTATGGAGAGATTCTGTAGGAGGTTATATTCTAGGGCTAATTGGAATTGAGGCCTAAGAATCTTGTGGAAGAGCAGCTTCCTAGCAATGGATTGTGACCTCCAGAAAATGGGGAGAGAAGAGGGGAAGCTCAGAGAAGTGTGCAGCAGGTGCCTCTTACTCTCCTGCTCTTCCAGGGTCTTTACCTTGGCTTAATCTGCTATGCATTTCTGAGAAGTCAGTACTTTGACATGTTTTACTGAGTTTAAGTATTCTGGAAAGGGAAGAGCTCCTGGTCCCACCATCTCCAAAAGGCCATGCGTGCCTTCTGTGCTGTTACTCTGCTCATTGCCCTGCCAGGGAAAGGACGGAGCATGAGCAGGAGGCAGCTAGTCACGTGGCATCCCCAGGAAGTAGGGAGAGATGGATGCTGCTCAGCTGGTCACGTGGCATCCCCAGGAAGTAGGGAGAGATGGATGCTGCTCAGCTGGTCACGTGGCATCCCCAGGAAGCAGCAGGAGGAGGTGGATGCTGCTCAGCTGGTCACATGGCATCCCCAGGAAGCAGAGGGAGAGGGATGCTCCTGCTCAACTGGTCATGTGGCATCCTCAGGAAGTAGGGAGAGATGGATGCTGCTCAGCTGGTCACGTGGCATCCCCAGGAAGTAGGGAGAGATGGATGCTGCTCAGCTGGTCACGTGGCATCCCCAGGAAGCAGGAGGAGAGGGATGCTGCTGCTCAGCTAGTCACGTGACATCCCCAGGAAGTAGGGAGAGATGGATGCTGCTCACCTGGTCACGTGGCATCCCCAGGAAGCAAGGGGAGATGGATGCTCCTGCTCGCTTGCCTTTTCCTTGCTGTGCAGTCTAGGAACCCAGCCAAGGGCATGGTACCACTCTCAGGGAATGGCTTCCCACCTCAGTTAACCCAGTTCAGAAACTGCCTTCTCGACATGCTCAGACGCTTGCCTTGTGGAGATTCTAGAGCCCATCAAGTTGACAGTCAAGATTAACTGCTCCTCCTTCTGTTAGCTTCTGAGAAAGAAATTCTTCATGCTTTCGTCACCTCCCGTTTCTGTCTGTGAGTCATCGCAAAGGCTCAAATCTGTGGCTCTGTTACTTTCCTGTGGTTGTGATGAAACATCCTGACCAAGGCAACTTAAAAAAGTAAGTGCTTATTTG